CCTGATTGCCCATAACAATACTTTCTGAGGTCACAGCTCTTAGTGGTGCCACATTTTGTCCAGCAACATTAGAATACAGGAAATTATCCACCTCTGTGATTCTCCTCATCCCACCATATCCTGTCCTGTTCTCACCCAACTTGGAACAGGTGTCAGATCCAGGGAAGGCTGCTGCAGACCAGATGGGCTATTTTGGAAAAAGTTGCATATTAAATCAAACTCGTTATATGGAAACCAAAATGGACCAAATGTTAAATCAAATGATGATACTTTGCTTTATAAAAAAGATGCATCATAAAAATGCTATGGATTTACCATGGACAAAGAATCCTCTGTTAAAATGACATTGCATATTAATTATGCAAAAAAAAAGGTCATTGCATATTTGGTTAATGTCTGTGGTTCTATAATTTTATGTAAAAGGGGGTGTATCTCAAAACTGCTGGAAGCTGGAATGTGTGGGTCTCTATTCTTATCTTTCTGGCTTTCAAATTAGTCTCTCACTGCCCTAGACTTTCCTGGCCCTGTTAACTTGGTAAACAATATACCAAAAGGAGAAAATGTAACCTGTGCACCTACTGAGTCTCCTTAAGTTCCAGGGCTCTAATCAGTGGTGTCTTGGAAAGGACAGAAGTAGATAATAGCCAGATAACTCCAAACTGCAGAAATCAGCATATTTGTTATGGCCAAACCTGACACTTGCAATGTCTACCTCAGTGTCATAACTGTGTAAGGCGGGAAGGCTACTCACTTCTCTTCTGCACTTTCTCCCTCCTCCTGTCTTTGTCCTTCTCAGTTAATAACAGAGACTCACAGGGCTCTTGCTCCCATGGGCAATCCCTATTTGCATAGGCTGACTATGCTATGTAATTTTTTCCATAATCCTATATTGGGAAATGAATACTGCTGGGAGAAAACTGCATGTAAAACAGCCTGAGGTTAGGAGCAAACTTAACATCATGTACTTTTTGAAATCAGCAGTTCTCAAATTCATTTTATATATGAAGAGCCTGAGGTCCAGAGAGGCATAGTAACTTTGCCAAGCTCACTCAGATATTTAGTGGCAACGCCAGGACTATGACCTGAGGTCCTTTCTTGGGATGTATGCTCCTTTACTTTCATCCACTTTAAAGAAAGCTCTCCTGGCTGTGTATGGGGTTCTCTCTCAAGAGAGAAAGGAACTGGAATAATGCACTGATGAGATGCTTTGATGGAAAGAGGAGGACTGAGTTTCAATCCTGGCTCTGCTCCATCTTGGACAAGTTATTCTCCCTCTAGAGACCTCAGTCATCTTCTATGAATTAAGGGATTTGGAATGAGGGCTCCATCTCTAAGAATCCTTCAGCTCCAGAACTCTGTCTAAAAATGATGAGTTGGGAGCTCAACAGTGCAGGGGACTGAGCAGTGTTCAGTCACATCTCCTAAGAGCCCCTTTAATTTTATTTATTAAAAAAATTTCAATTATTATACAGATTTCTATTTTATAAGCTTATTTTTTTAACAATTTTTTTATTTTTCAATTACAGTTGACATACATTATATTAGTTCAGGTGTACAGCACAGTGATTAGACATTTATATAACTTACGAAGTGATCATCCCGATAAATCTAGTACCCATCTGACACAATACATAGTGATTACAATATTACTGACTATATTCCCTAAGCTATACATCCCTATGACTATTTTGTAAATACCAATTTGTACTTCTTAATTCCTTCCCTTTTCCCACACATTCCTAAGCCTCCTCCTATCTGGCAAACATCAAAATGTTCTCTTTATCTATGAATTTGTTTCTGTTTTGTTTGTTTATTTATTTTGGTTTTTCGATTCTACATTTAAGTAAAATCATATGGTGCTTGTCTTTCTCTGGCTGACTTATTTCACTTAGCACAACACCCTCTAGGTCTATCCATGTTTAGCAGATGGTGAGATTTCATTCTTTTTTTTTTTTTTTATGGCTGAGTAATATTCCATTGTATATATGTACCACTTCTCTATCCATTCATCTATTGATTGAGGTTGCTTTCATACCTTAGCTGTTGTAAATAATGCTGCGATGAATAAATGGATGCATATGTCTTTTTGAATTAGTGTTTTGTGTTTCTTTGGTTAAATACCGAGAAGTGAAATTACTGGGTCTTTCTTTGTCTCTTATTAAAGCCTCTGTTTTAAAGTCTATTTGTCTGGTTTAAGTATTGCTGCCCAGTTTTTTTGTTTGTTTCCATTTTCATGAATATCTCTTTCCATCCCTTTACTTTCAGTCTGTGTGTATCTTTTGATCTGAAGTGAGTCTCTAATGGACAACATATATGGGTCTTGTTTTCTTATCCATTCAGTCACCTTATGTCTTTTGATCGTAGCATTTAATCCACTTTATTGAAAGTAATTGTTGATAGAGATGTAGTTATTGCCATTTTATTATTCACATTTTTAATCTTTTTTTTTTCTTTTCTTTTTAAAGAGGACCTTTTAATATTTCTTATAATACTGATTTGGCATTGATTAACTCATTTAACTTTTTCTTGTTTGGGAAGCTCTTTTTCTGTCCTTCAATTCTAAATGATAGCTTTGCTGCGTTGAGTGATCGTAGTTGTAGGTCCTCACTTTTCATCACCTTGAATATTTCGTGTCAATCTATTTTGGCCTAAAAAGTTTCTGTTGAGAAATTGGCTGGTCATCTTACGGAAACTCCCTTGCAGGTAACTAACTTGCATTTTTTCTTCCTGCTTTTAAGATTTCTCCTTGTCTTTAACCTTTGGTATTTTAACTATGATGTGTTTTGGTATGGGCCTCTTTGGGTTCAGCTTTTTGGGACTCTACACTTCTTGGGCTTGTGTGTCTATTTCCTTTTCCAGGTTAAAGAAGTTTTCTGTCATTATTTTTTGAAATAGCTTTTCAATTCCATGCTCTCTCTCTTCTCCTTCTGGTACCCTATAATGTCAGTGTTGGTACACTTGATGTCATCCTAGAGGCCCCTTACATTATCCTTATTATGGGAGAATTCTTTTTTATTTTTGCCGTTCTGATCAGGTGTTACCTTATCTGCTATCTTATCACTGATTCAGTTCTCTGCTTCATCTAATCTGTTTATTCCCTCTAATGTATTCTTCATTTCAGTTATTGTATTCATCGTTTGTGACTGGTTCATTTTTATGTTTTCTACCTCCATTTTATGTTTCCTATTACTTTGTTGAAATTCTCACTGAGACCATTGAGAATCCTTATAAACCAATGGTTTGAAATCTGCATCTGGTAATTGTGTGTTTCCATTTTGTTTAGTTCTTTTTCTGGAGTTTCGTTCTGTCCTTGCATTTGAAACATGTTTCTATGTGATTTTGACTGCCTCCCGGTGTTTGTTTCTATGTATTAGGTAGAGATGCTGCATCTCCCAGTCTTGGTAGAGTGGCCTTATGTAGCGGGTGTCTCTTCAGCCCTTGCCCTGAAGCCAGACAATTAATTTCATCCACGTGTGTCCCTAGTGCCTTTTGAGCTGTTGCCCTTGCAATGGAGGTTGAAGTGAGTGAGTCCATCAGTGAATAAGTCCATGAGAAGGCCCTTTAAGAGGAACTCCTGAGACTCTAGCTGCTTTTCATCTCACTTGGCCACAATCTCCATTGGTTTTCACAGCCAGAAGTTGTAGGGACTTCTCTTCATGGCCCTGGAGCCCTGGGCTGGGGAACCCGGTATGGAGCTGGGACCCCTTGCTCCTCAGGGGGCACCTCTGCAGCCAACATATCTCTCCCAAATTTTAACTGCTACATGTGTGTGAGACCAGCTCATTCCACATCTCCACCCCTCCTATCAGTATCGAGATGGCTTCTTCTGTATGTTCTTAGTTATAAGACTTCTGTTCAGCTAGACTTTAGGCAATTCTCAATGATGGCTATTCTGTATTTTAGTTGTAATTTTGATGTAGTTGTGAAAGGAGGTGACCGCAGTGTTTACCTACTCTGCTATCTTGACCAGAAGCCTATGAGAGCCCCTTCAATTTAAAAGTCTTGTCATCTCTGACAACTAACTTCCAAAGTTTCTTCCTAACTAGTTCCTGTTCAACACACACTCAAAACTTTAGTGAGATTGAAAACAAGAGGCAGTTATTTCTACAATTTTATGGTCAGGTAGGGAAGGCTGTACCATAAGATACGATCATATTTTAAATGTTCCAGGTATACTCTTCGTCAGGCACAATGCAATCTAGTTTATCACATTTGAACTCACTCAAAGTAGGAATATAGTTTATGTAGATTCGAGGAACACTAAAAGGGATCGTGTGTATGTATGTGTATTTGTGTATACAATGAAGGGCCAATATAACCCATATTTGGCTTAAAAACCATTACCCTCTCTTTTTCATAATCATAGACTTTTAAATATATGTATGTGTGTCTATTGTATACATGTTTACAGAGAAAATAATAAATGAGAAGATTACCACTCCTTTCCATGGCTCATTTTAGCCCTGTTACATGGCACAATAGTATTTATTTTCACATAGCATCTAGTTCTACAAAGAATCACAGAACAATAACCTGTTTAGGCTGGCAGCCCCAGAAGAACACTGCATAGCAAAGGTGCACTATGGGTGAACATAGCACGCATGGAGAGGACTATACACATTTCCACACTGTGGAGTAGTATGTTACAGTGGGAATGTGGACACATGCCTAGAATCCTAAAAGCTTACAATCTGAGGGCTCATTGTTGGAGAACAATAACCAAACATATTCTGATGGGGCCCCCTTTTTTTTCCCTGGAAGGTGCCAGGCTGACAGCTGCTTTGACTCCTACCCTTGTGCCAGGGATTGTGGGAGAGAAAAGCACAAATATAAAATCAGGAATAAAGACATAAGATCTATGGTTTAAAAGTGACGGTTCATGCGGCCCAAGCACCAAGCGGCGAAAGCAGGAATCAAAAGAGTGAAGAGAACATGCGGGAACAGTAGGCAGAAGCACACAAAACACAGCTGGACCCACAAGGAGCCATGCTCACACTTACATGGTGTGGTCTCACACTACCTTAGTTTGCTTTAAGCATTTCCATCATCTGAGAGTTTGGGAGGGAAAAACAACATAGTTAAAGATAAAACATATTAAGAGCTCGTACTTTATTTTTAAAAGTTAAAAATAAAAATGTCATACCTGGCCATCCCATTCATAGTGTGCAGAATACACGTATGATGATTTATAATGATGAAAAACATAGTTCTGAGCGCCAGACTGTGGTTTCATATCTTGGCTCTGCCACTTCCTAGCTGTGTGACCCTGGCCAAGTGTCTTATCTTTCTGTGCTTTAGTTTCCTCATCTGTTAAATGGATCTAATGGCCTCACTTACCTCGTTAGATTGTAATGAGGATGGAATACATTAATACTACATGCGAAATATTTGGAAACGTCCTATTCAATACCAAGCATTATCTAAGTGTTAGATATCATTGTTGTTGTAGCTACTTTATCTTTGGCTTCCTCAGTCAATACCACTCAGACTATATGATCAAAGTTTTTCTACAGAAAGTCAAGGACTTGAAGAGAATTTTAGGTGTTCAGTAAGAAAAACAATACAAAAAATCAAAATGTTCAGGAGAAAAGGACAAAGTTAGAAATGCATGGAGTGAGTAATAGTTTCATATGTTATTATAATTCTTGAGAGTATCATTTCAAATTCCAAAAGCAATCCAGAGTAGCTTTTTAAGAAAGATAAATGCAATTGGCCTCTGTATCCATGGATTTTGCATCTATGGATTCAACCAACTGTAGATAAAAACAAAAAAACAAAAAAACAAAAAAACATAAAAAACGAAAAACTCCAGAAGTTCCAAAAAACAAAACTTGAATTCGCCATGTGCTGAGTACTATACTAAATCTAAATGAATGATGTTATGTGTAGGCATACCCTGCTGTACCCTATATGCAAATATAGATTATATGCAAACACTAAGTCATTTTATATTAGGGACTTGAGCATCCATGGATTTTGGTATCCACAGGGGTCTTGGAACCAATTCCTTCAGATACCTAGGGAGGACTGTAAAAATCAATTACACACACAGGTCAATTAGAAACCCTGAGGACTGGTTCATGTTGGACAATTCAAGGCTGTGTTCACATCATCAGATATGACCCTTTGGATTATTGGCATCTTACATTTTCTAACTGGCTTCCAGCCAGTGTCTCGCACAGAGAATTGCTAAAAGTTGCCAGTGCAAGAGCAGGGTGGGTCATAACTACCAAGTCATGCAGGAGGACAGACTTTTCTCTTCCATTCTTTCCCAGAACCATTCCATCAGCTTTGACCAAAGTTGGCAGGATATTGCAGTCAAACCCAAAAGAACGGGACCTTAGCCTAAAAGGAACCTGCAAATAAAGATGACGTGGGCTGAGTTTGCCTTTGCTAATCACTCTGTGTTTCTGGCTGGCCACTACCAGTGTCCAGTTAGGTAGATCTTCACTTTCCCTCAGAATGAATCCTGCCCCTCACCTCCAAGTGATGCATTTGTACATGTAGACAAGCTAATTGAGACAGGACTTACATAAACACATGTGGCTCTCCAGGAAATCCAGATTAATGAGCTGTCTTCTCCTCTGACCTATGGACAACTAATTTCTTCCCTCTAACAACTCACATCTGATTTTATAGCCTCTTGCTTCTTGCTTCCCATTTGGTTCTCTTCTTACATCTCCTTTGATCATTTCTGATTATTCAGAAAAGTTCCAGGATGGAAGTTCCAGGTCTCTCCTCTGTCACTGTCTCCTCATGCTCTTTGTCACTTCTTCAAAGGCATTGAGGGCTATGTTGGCTCTCTTTGGGATGTGAGCATTTGGATGAAGGAATTTGCTTTTTAAAGTTGGAAAGGCAGGTGCTAAAAGCATCATTTCAAATGAAAAATAAATGCATCAATGGAAGCCTTCAGCTGGTAGAATATGAAAGGGAAGAATGACAAGGAACATATCAGTGTCTGTTTAGCTGCCTACCTTAACTGAACTTTGTCAGAAAGGGTGAGTCTTAGGCTGCCTCCCAAGAAAGGCACTCATCCCCTGCAGATACCACCATGGTGCTCAGTTTCCTGCTAGGTGCATTCTCACACCAGCTAGGGTATGTGTTTGTGTGTGTGTACATCTCTGGTGCCCAACCACATGTTGTTGTGCTCTGAGAAGACCTCTGCTTAGAGCAGAGTTTTAATTTGGATAATATTGTCATATGTAAATATACCCTAGAATTGAAGTCTCCAGCTGCCAGTTGGGCTGTAGGGTCCTAAAGGCTGGGCCTAAGTTTTTCTTTCCTGGGTGGCCCCTCACTATGTCAAGTACAACATGCTCCCTGCTGTAGGGGTGAGTCATGGCTGCCAGTGATCACAGCTTCATTTGTCTGTAAGGGAAGCTGGCTTTTTATTTTTTTATTTTATATATATATATGTGTATGTGTATATATATATGTATTTTTAAATTTATTTTCATTATGGTGACATTGGTTAACAAAAGCAGTAAGCTTCAGGTGTACAATTTAACAATAAGGCATATATATACATATGTATATATATGTATGTGTGTATATGTGTGTGTGTATTGCATTGTGTGGGAAGCTGGCTTTTCAAAGACACAGTTTTAGCTCTTAGATCCCAATCACAGGTACTGTTTCAAGGACATAGATTATAGTGCTTGGGCTCTGGAACACAGAGACACCTTGATCTGTTCAACACGTTTTAGAAGGATGCCGTTTAGATCATCAGAATGCTGCTCAGGCAAAAGTGCAAATGGGAGGAAGGGGCAGGGGTTACTTAGAGAAACAAAGGGATTTTCAGCCAGAAAAAAAATAGGTCTAATGAACTGATGTTTGCAGAACTGGAGATATTTAAAAAGGACTACTAAGCAATTAGCCAAATTATAACTAGGATGGGACATAGAGGATAATTTCAAAGGGAATCATTTCAAATAAGTCATTCTCTTGCTTCTAAGGGCTTTCATTCCACCCTGTGCAGAGGTCATTATTTTAACAGAAGAGACAGAGGCAGTCACATTTTTCTTGTTGATGAGACAAGCAATGCCATGTCTCCTGGAGGGTCAATGAGCCCATTAGGTCACAGGACCACATTTAGAGAGCTGGAGCTCTTGACGCAGTGAAGACAGCCATGGCATCATCATCCTGTACAATGTGAATTTTAGTTAAAAAAAAAAAAATGGCAGTATCTTCTTGAATTCTGCTCTGGGTCCTACGGCCCAATCCTTTCCCAAGGCAGTACCGATGTAAGATGTCAGCCTGTTTCAGTGGGTAGCTCATGTAGGAAAAAGGCCAAAAGAATGAGTTCTATCACTAGACAAAAGGCTGATGCTTGAGTAGTCATTAGAGTATTTTGATATCTTATGCTCTGTCTTAGCTACATAGTCAGATCTCAAGGCAAACCTCTTCTGGATCCCTCTGACCATAGATATCATATTCCAGTCAAGACTGAGGCAATGGGACATATTTTATGTGCATCATCCCATGGAGTGAGAGAGGGTTCCTTAGAGAAAAGCAATATCCCTTCTAAAAGGTAGTTGCGGCTTGGTGTTTCCATGCATTTGGAACATGCATTTCTCTTTGCTACAGAGACAGACAGGTCTTGTACCATCACTGCTTGTATTGGCAACTTTGACTTTTCAGAGAGATCACTAAATATATGAGTCACTCTTATAGTAGTAGATCAACTAACAGGCTGAGATTTACTCATAAAATAATTTTATCGATAATACTCAAGACATAAATACAGACATAGCCTTTATGTTTCCATTTGATTTACTCACACTTGAGTGAACAGCTGTCTCATTCATTGAAAACTTTATGAAAATCACCCAAAATGTCCTTCTGAGTAAGTATTTATTTTACTGGGTGATTTACACTAAACCCTGGGGATTTGGGTTCTATAGTTTAATTTCCCACTTCATAGGTGATAGTGGAAGATGTGAAATGCTGAGTGTTGACTGATTTTTTCCTTCAAATGTATCCCCTCCTGGGCCCTCGGTGCTCAGTGGTAGAGGGTATGAAAAGAACAGAAATGAAATAGAGTCCTAGCGAAAACAATTTTTAGTTGAGAGGCTTTCAAAGAAGAAACGTAAGAGGATGCTGTAATTTATTGTTAGAATCAAATAAATCTAGGCTAAACATGACCTTGGTAATTAATTATCCAGTCCACTGCTTCACTTAAGAAATAAGGACACAAAGGCTCTGAGAGGACAAGTGACACAGCCTGTGGGAGACGACCAGGGTTAGTGGTAGGCCTTCTGACTCATGGCCCAGCACTACCCCACCATGCTGCTTCCATTTTCAAGAGAAGAACAATGTTTTCTAAGCAATGATACTCATTAGGGATATAGTACAAATAATATGCTCAGCCTGCCCTCTGAGTTTAGAAAGGCTTCATCTCTTCATACGTAAGCTAAGGGCAAAGTTAGAAAACTGCTTTAACTCCTCCAACAAAATAAAGATCAAATGATGTGTGTGGTCTGCCTTTAGGCCACTGACCCACAAATTTGAATAAACTATGGACCCCTTTAAAGGAAAATAACTCTAAGATAATTCTCTACAATAAATTTTCTTAATGCATTTGAGAAACATTTACTTAAGGAAGCTAAAACCTCATTCTTTGGACATAATTTTCGATTGAGAATTCTCACTGAAAAAAGACAGGTTTTATCTTTAGAATTAGAAAACGAAAGCAAAAAACTTAAATGTCCTTATTAAACCCAGAGACCCTTATTTCCCCGTAAAAATATGTTCTTGAAATCCTGTCCTAGAAACATGGTCCTAGCTCAGAATGCGTCTCTGCTCTCTTCTTTGGGTTCATTAAGGAACTTTTTCAGTTTATGTCCTCTTCTACCTTCACTCCTTCAGGAGCTATGTCTTTTGTATATGATGGATTTTTTTTTTAGTTCACATTTTTACAATGGAGCCTGTGTGTCCTGTATACTTGTTACCTCATCATCCTATCCCTCTTTCAATCTCAGGTCACTTTGTGATTTTTCTAATATTTGCTTTGGACCAAAATTCAGCATAATCCTGCCTTTGTGGAATA